GTTAATTGTTGATTATCTTCGTCTCATAGGTTCATGGATATGCTGTTGGAAGAAGGTGATGGGTCAAGAGTGGACATTGAAGATGGAGATGCAAGAAAAATGAAACAAATTCATTTCAAATGGTATTAAGATTGTTAATGTATCCGACATAACTTACTAACAATCAGTTAAATTGTAATTTAACTGCATTATAATCAACTTTTTACCATCATAATGTTTATAAACATGATATTTTTTATGATATAATAGATTGAGAAAATTTTCGCTGTGGGAAAATTATTGCTAATCTATTAGCTTTTTTGTTCATTATCCAGGTAACATGGTATTCAGATTATGGTAATAATGGTGTAGGAGATGATGATGATACTCTTGCTGCCGTTGAACTAAGTAAAAGAGGAGGAAGAAGACAAAAGATGATACAAACAACATCAACAATACACAAAAAGAAACCAATGATAATCATTATCATTATGTTGGATTGAAGATATAATCATAGCGACAGAGAGAGAGAGAGAGAGAGAGAGAGTCTACCTGATGATATGCATATAATATGCATCTTAGAGGGTTAAGAAAATGTTATCCCACATTATCAATGATGATCATCATCTCTATCATAATATTCACTTACATTTTCCTCCTCCTCCTACTCCTCATCATCTTTGTCCGTTTTCCCTCCTCCTTCAACCACAGGGTCAACTGCCTTCATCTTGAGGTAGAAGCAAATAGTTGATAATACCCTTGGATCAACACCGATACTCATGTTATCTTTATTGTTATCTTATCAATAATTTACTTGGACAATACATGTAATTGACTTTTGACTATCTATTATTGTTATTGACCATTGGTCATCATCATCATCATCATTAGATATTTTCTTTAAAACTACCTGGAAGAAGAGCAAGTTACAGGTAACAAACGAAAAAGTAAAATAATCAAAATGAATAGTTACAATTTTTTAATAGTAACATGTTGATATTTTGTAGTGACCATTGTGGTCATCATCAGTATTATTATTATCATCATCATCTCATCCAGGAGCTGAATTAGTTGTGGTAAAACGATAATGATGAAAGAAACGCCTTCGACTTTACAAAAAAGAAAAAGTTTTTCCTCAAATCGTATTGGCAATTATTATCATTATATTTTCTCTAATGTCCAGTGTGTCCACTCTCACCCCCTGATCACTATCATCATCATCATCTCTCTCTCTCTCTCTCTCTCTCTCTCTCTCTCTCTCCATCTTCATATCTTTACCGTTGTTTCAGATACCTTTTTATTTCAAGGTTTCTAATGATGTTTGTAAGCAAAAGCTTGACCTCATAATTATGGGTTAAACTATTACCTTTTACCTTTAATCTTACCTTTCCAGTCTCTATCATCATCACTATCATCAATATCATCTTTGTTTTTCAAGCTTCTTCATCTTTTCATCATCATCATCATCATCCTGATCAAATGCTCCTGGTTGGCCTTCAATGTTTTCATATCCGTGTTGTAAAAGTATATCAATGATATTTAACTACCACTGAGAGTAACAATTAACCAAGAATTTATTTTAATTGTCTATCATTATCCTTAGTCTATTAACTTTAAATATCCCAACAATTTATTATCCATTTATAATTATCAGAATCATTAGTTAAACATTATCATTGTTATTAATATGATATTTGATTATTTGTGGTTAAATCTAAATAAATGTTTAACATTAATTGATTAGTTTAATTTGATTGAGTTTATTGATTTTTAATTGAAATTGTCAACACAATCAAATTGTTTACTCTTAATTAATTATCAATCATTCAACAATTATAAGAAGTTGTTTGATTCATTTTCATTTACTTTGACTCTTGATTCAGTAACAATTAACTTTGATTGTGATCCTAATTACAATCTATTACCTTGATACTTAAATCACTTGCGGCTAAATTAAATTGTTGGTGGTGATGATAGTTAATAATAAGATTGGTTAGTTGATTATTAGCTTTAATTTTAAATTGTATCACTAATAATTGGATCACAATTAATTTTTACCTAGGAAACAATTTAGCTTAATGATATTAACTAAATGTTGTTAATCAAAAGTTTATTGATTAATTTCATCTAATATTTGATTATATGAATTATTTGATTTAATTGTTTGTTTTCATTTTATTATATTTTTTTTTGTTAAATTGTCTAAGATTAGCAACTAATGATATCGATCAACGACAATTAACTAATTGTAATCGGTATATATGAAAACTAATACCATATAATTAACCAATTTAATTGTGAAAATTAAGTTTAATTTTGTTTCATTTTTGGGTAAAAATTTGAAACTTTTTGTCAAAAAATTGTAGCAATTTAATTGTTGATTGTTGTTGGTGAATTATTAACAATTAACTTAAATTACCTTGATAATGATCACCATCAATACCTTAAGGTATAAATAAATATGTAATTTAATCAATTGATAGGAAATAATTTAGTCACTAAAAGGCCTTAAATTGTTAACAATTTACTAATTGATCTAAGGTGTGGCTTCTCATTGATCTTAATTGTCACAACAAACAATTAACTCAAATTATAATCAAATTATTTGGCTTAATTTTGACAGGAAAATTACATCAGAAACAAAATTACAATTAACTAATGGTTTACAATTACAGGTTGAACATTATTTGTAAATGATTAACTAATTGTCTCATTAATCAAAATTTTGTTTAATCATCTTGACGAGTATTTAAATTAACGTGAAAACAAAAAGTAAATGGTTTTCATTTAATTACAATTAAAAGGTTAATCATTTGAAGAAAAAAAAATCAACAATTACTTATCTTTGGGTTGTACAATTAAATTGATTGTGATGATGATGATTAAAAGTTGATCAACAAGGTAATTTAAATATAAGAATTTAAATTGTTGGCTCATTTAGATTGTGATTTTAATTGATCATTTTGAATAATCTAATTCAATTTAATTCTGGTAAAATTAAATATTATTTTTTGAATAATTAACTAAACTACAGAAAAAAAATATGATTAAGTTAATCATTTGAGAGATTAAATTGATTGTTGGTAAACAATTAAGATGTTCAATCAGTTAAAGAAGAGAAAATTAAAAAACAAATCTAAGGTTAATTGTGGACAATCAATCAAAGTGAACTAATAACAATAAATGATTAATGTAATTGCTCATATATTGAATAGTAATTAAAATATTATATCAACTGGTCAGGAAATTGAACATTTTCCGACTTGACCAGTAAATCTATGTGATTGACCAGGGGGAAAAACCGCCCGAGGGCCAAAAATGTAGGTGATCAGTGAGTTTCTTGAGCTTTGGGCCTCTGTTGATGGTCCATAAAGTACAATTGTTATTATAAACTGACCACAAGAACGTGCATAAGTCAGGGATGACCATTGGTCACTCCCAAGTGTACAAACTTGTAGTTGATTAGTGTAAACACTTACAGAGGAGGTGGGCGGAGGTGGTGGTGGTTACACATTGGACTGATTGTTAATTACGAGAGTCAAATAATAATAATAATTTTCTTACACCACCAACACTGACCAACGAGTTAAAATGAGCAACTGGGAGTGGACAAAGTGGTTAATCATTATCATTACAATTGGAATCAAATTAAACATGAAATGAATGAGATCTTGAAACCACAATGTAACTTTAATTACACTTCAAATGATGAGGATGAGAAGCAGAGAGAGAGAGAGACTAATATATTGTTGCTTTTGCTTCATCTTCATCATTTGTGGTTAACAAAAGAAACTAAATTAACAATTACAATTGTAGAAACAAAAGTAAATTATAATTTAGCTTTACAACTAATCAACTAAATCTAAACTATAAGACAATTCATCTTCTAGGGTTTGATCAATTCATTTGTTGTTTTTTTCCCTCACAATGTTAACGATTTAATTACAATCAGTTAATCAGTTGATTTCGTGATTTACTTTAACAAACTTTTCCAATTGTTATTCTTGGGAAGAGTGAGACTATTATCATTTACAATTAATAACAATCAATAATTAGCTGATATTTTTGTTATTCTTCATCTTCATCTTCTTATAATTAACTAAGTTCATTAAATGATAATAGTTTTGTTTTTTTTTCGTCTGTTTCTATCGGAAGAAGAGTAAGAAAGAGTTGAAATTTTTCATCTTCTCTTTCAGTTGAATCTCTTTCATCTTTTCATGATAATTATGATTAACATCCTGAATAAGTTATTGCCTAAGAGACTATTATTGCTTATCATCATTATCTTCATCGTTTATTATCATCTATCAATGAATACTTGTTTCTTCATTTCTATCATCAGTCTTACTCATACTTCATTCACTTTCTATCTTCCCTCAGGATCTTATTCATGATCATCCAGAGAAGAGAGAGAGAGAGAGAGAGATTCTCTCTCATCTATCTTAGCGTAATTATTAAGATGGGAAAAGTGGGCCGCTAATGTGGGGTGTAAGGGGGAGCAGTGGAAAATGATGAGGATGCTGATGATGAAGATGAAAAGATTTGGTGATCAATTTTAATGATCATCTTGTAAAAACACGGATCTTGTTGTTAGAACTTTTTTTCTTTAATGGTTTATTCATATCTAAATAATAAAACCCCCTTTGCCCCTTTACCTGTTGTAGAGAGAGAGAGAGAGAGACTTATCATCCTTCTCATCACTATCATCATTTTTCTTTCTCTCTTTATCAACTCTCTCATTGCGTCTCTCTCATCTTCTCTCATTGAAAACCATCATCGGAGCGGAGATTGTTACTATAGCTTTAATAACCGGAATTGTGGCCTTCATTGGCCTATAAACAAGTTCTAAGTCTCCTCATCATCTTTATCTTTATCATTTTTTTTTCATCTTTTTATAGGATAATCATTGTTATCGATCTCTTTTTCCTCATCTTCATCTTCATCCGGCTTCTTAATCTTAACCATGTAATAATATTGATCTTTATCTGTTATAATCAATTGTGACAGAAAAACATAAATTATCAAATGAAACAATTTATTTACTTCATCTCAATTGTGATATTTGTTATTAATTAAAAACAAAATATGAGTATTATAATAATTGGATGATTACAATTTAGTTAATTGCAGGGTGATGATAATACAATTGTAATGAATGAAAATGAGCATTGATATAACTTTTTTTGTTCAATTTTTTTTGCATCTTTCCGATATTCAAATGATTATGATTGGAAAATGAATTTGATTATTTAACTAATCAATTAATTTACAGGTGAGAGAGAGAGAGAGAGAGAGAGAGAGAGAGAGAGTATTTAATTGTTAATCAGTTGCAATTGAAATTTTCCTTTGAATTGGATAATAATAATGGTGGGGGAAGATGAGAAGGGAGTTGAGGGAGTTACATATTAATTTGGCTCAATTTGTGATTAATTATTGGTGCTGATTGTTGTTGACTAGGATTTCAATCAATTGAGTTAGTGTTGGATCAATTGGTTTGTCAAAGTTTTTCAAAAGCGGAAGATGATGAGGATGAGGATGAAGATGGAGGTGATGAGGTTCCCGAACCATAATCGGAAGTAGTTGATTGGGGAGATTTACGAGATTGGTAACGATCTAGATCGGGAAAAGAGGATGAGGATGGGGAAGAGAGGGAATAATAGCCTGAGGAGGTTGACGAAGATGAGGAGAGAACTGTTTCCGGTGGGTGATGGTGATAATGGTGTGGTGAGTATTTTAGAAATGCATGAGCAACGGACACCGAAGACGCTGAACCCAAGGAGACTAAGTTTGTCATCTCATCGGTTGGCGTTAATTGGGTGGTTGAGGGATGATTGTGATTCTGAGAGTGGTTATCAATGAATTCAGCTGATGTCGGAGTGGAATTGGGATCCATCATGTCATAATCTAACAGGGTGGGAGATAGTTGTTTATGTGAGGAGCGAAAGGGGTGAGTATGATGGTGATGATGATGATGATATGAGGGAACGGAAGTTAACACTTGATGGTGAACATGAGGATGTTGATGGAGATGGTGGTGAGGATGATGGTGGGGATGATGATGATGATGTACCGGTGAACCATAGTAACTTGAAACGGGTACAACTGTTCCCAATTCTGTGGCCGTTGGTGTCATTCCCGGATAACCGGAAGTTGCAGTTGATCCAAACATACCGGTAGGTGGATAGGTAAAGGTTGATGCTCGAGGATGATGATAAGTTGATGTTGGTGGAGGTGGAAGATGATGTTGACCATGATTGACCCTTTTAGCATTTGGTTCAGGTGATTCGGGTTCATCTTCCGTATCCGGATCGGTTGAACGGTTTCGATCACCATTTTGTTGACCTGATAAATTGTCTCTTGGCGTTGTTGTTGCTGCCGTTGTATCACTATTATTATTGCTGTTGTTACCATTACTATTGGTGCTAGAATTTGAACCGGAAGTTGTTCCGGTGCTCGATGGTACAATTGGTATTGATGCACCAACGGGATGACAATTGGTTGATGTTGATGAACTTGATGAATTGTGTGACCTTTTGGTTGCTGAAGGTGCTGAGGTTTTTGATGATTCTGATTCTGGGATTGATGCTGATGAAACGGGAACAAAGGTGTGATAAGGTAAACTTCCGGCTTGAGGTGAGTATTGTAACACTGAGGAGGGTGAAGGGTGAGAGGGATGATAAGGATGATGAGGGTGTGAAGGGATTGGATGATGAGGTGTAGCACCATTAATGGGACCCAGGGAGGATGAGTGAGGATGATGCATTGATGAGGATGGATAAGCGACCGGTGCTAAAGGTGTAATTGATGAAGATGATGTTGTTGTACCTGAAGATGAGACACCGATCACAAGTGAAGGTGGAAGAACGGAATTAGCCGCTGATGAGGTTATAATGGAGGAAACTGATCCACCGGCGGATGTTGTATTAGACTCGGATGAAGGTGTTAAATGATGATGATGATGATTCTGATTGTGATTATGGTGATTATTGTTACTATTGTTGTAGTGCGAAATGGTTTGGGATTGACCATTGTGACCAATGTGAGGGTGGACAGTTGAATTGTGGTTTACATGTTGTTGATGGGCAATGGCTGCAGCAGCAGCAGCCGCTGTCATTGCAGTCATAGCTGAAGCTGCTGTGGCTGCAGCACCAACCGCAGCAGCAGCGGCAACAGCAGTCGATCCAGCTGCAGCCGCTGCAGCGGCAACAGCAGCAGCAGCGGTTACATGATGATGAGCCGTTGAGTGTTGATGGTAAAGTGATGTAAGCCGAGCAGCTGAAGTTGGATGATTCTCATAGCCGGTTAAACCATAATGCATCTTAGAGTGTAATGAATAAAATTGATACAGCCAATTGTTGGCTCTCATAACGGTCGCCTCTTTTTCACTATTAACATAACAAATATAACAACAACAATTAGTTAATCAATGAAACAAAAAAAAGTTAAATCAACTTAATGGGGAAAATTTTTTTTCGCTAACAACAATTTACCTTAATACTTGATTAGTGCAAACAATTATCGGCTGTTGTGATGTATCATTTGAATCTTTAATTTGTAATACACTATGAACCCAAATCCATTGGTGGTTAATTGTTTCCAATCGTAATAATAATATACAAGATTTTTCTTGTTCTGATTGAGTAATTAGCCGATGCTTTGATTGGGCTTCTCGAAGATGCTCCCAATGTACTAAATCGTACCAAGATAGTCCAGAATTAATTGTACTCTTATCATAGCCAAGATAATACTCTCCACTAGAAAAGCATAAGAAGTAACAATTTAGTAATTAAACAAGTGCAATTAGTTAATCATGATTGAGAGACAAACATAATAATAATAATGTTATGTAAGAATTACCAATGAAAAGAAAATTGGAAAAAAAGTTTTCATGATAATCTAATCAACTGGCTGACTGATTTAACCTTGATAATTTGCTTTTAGTTTGGTAGACAATTAAATTTTCTGGATAACAATTAACTTATCATAATCGATATTGATTAGTATCATCATCATTATATATCATATTAATTGTAATAATAATCTAAAGGTGATTTATTCAGGTAAAAGTTATTAACAAATATAATTTAACCTCGAGGATGAAAAAATGAAAACAAAGTTTTGTCTGAATATTGAAACGATAATTATGATGATTTACTAATTGTTTATAATAATTTTTATTACCAAAGTTAAATTATAATAATGATAATGATCACAATCAGTTGATTCTAATTTTATCTTAATAATAATAAGAAGATGAATTAAGATTTTTTTCAGAAGGGATATCATTCATCTTTCATTTTCCATCATCATCATCATCATAATGTTGATTATTATTAAAAAAGATTCTTAATGAAAATTATGTTTATCCTTAATCTTAATGGAAACCATTTTGTTGTTGTTGGTGCATAATAATAAATGATAATAATGAACAAGAATCATATCGGCTAATATTTTTCTATCCTTCAACTATTCATACCCTCAGGCTATACATCACGATTTAAGGTGACCGGTGATAAAGGTAAAGACTAAGAAAGTTGGTCCAGTAAACCTCGTAATGTTTTGGCCCCAAGCCGTTAAACAGACAAGAGTACAAGCTGCAAGAATCGACCTGAAACAATCGTGATGTAAATGCAATTGAAAGATGAAGATAAAGATGATGAAGATGATGAAGAAAGAGTAAGGAAGGAAGCAAATGAGAGAGAGAGAGAGAGAGAGAGAGAAATGATGATGATGATGATGAGGATGATAAAAAGACGAGGGAGTGATTAGGATAAGATTTTTGTTCTTAATTTTTGTTCACGTTGTTGTTTTGTTTTTTTTTTCTGCTTCTTCGATAATAAGATTTACAACAATTAAGTTAATTGTGAATTCGTTGATTATCATTAATATTACTTTATATTATTCTACAGCTGAAGTTTGATTGTCAATTAAATCAACAACAATTAATTTTTGATGGAGATGAGAAAGGAAGAGGAAACAGCTGAAATCTTTTAATGTTAACTATGGTTTACAAGGTTAATTGTTGTCTGATTAATAGTTATTTATTTAGATTAGGAGAGTTAATTGTTTCATTAAAGATTATCTCTCACCTTAATTTCATATTTAATTTGATTACATTTTCATTGTTTCATTTGTATTATTATTACCTAATGGTCACTACCAAAGTTAACTTGTAATTAGTAATCAAAATGACCAAAAAAAAATCAATTGGATTAAATTTAAATCAATTCTTTCCATACCAACAATTTACTAATTGTTTTCCTTCATTGTTATATACAAATTAATCTTTCAAGATGTTGATTATTATTAAATATCGTTCCAATCAATAATCATTGACTCTCAAGATCAATCAATTATTTTGATGATGATGGTGATCATTTAAATCGTGATGAACAATTTAAATTAAAAAATTTAAACAACAATCAAATAGAGATCATTAAAAAAAATCAAGTTGATCAACTTTAAATCAATTTCTTCCTGTTAATCAAATCAAATCAATCGCTGTCTATCATTGTTATTGTTTCATTGTTTCACAATTAAACTTCATTAATAGTAATTAAATTTGATTCCTTGATAAGTATATTCCAATTAACAATTAGCTCTTTTTTTCCCAAGAGATTACAAACTGAATCATTTCCGCATGATTAGACAATTAATTAATTGTTCCCAAACAATAACAACAATTTAAGAAATTAATTCTTGTGAGGTCAATAAGAAAAACCAAAACAAACTTAATTGTAACACAAAATTAAATCATAATCATTGGCCTTTGGGGATAAGTCATTATCCTAATCAATTAATCCTCCTCCTCATCATCATTACAATCATCATCATCATCATCATTAAGATTATAATCAAGTGTCTCTTCATTCATTGATTATAATGATAATTGAATAGACTACTAAATAGTAACAATTTAAATGAATAACATCAATGATTAGTTTTTTTTTCAATTCTCTCATTAGATTAACATGGAGAAAGTAAAAAAAAAGTTTCGTTCTCAAAGAAAAAACTTTTACAATTAGTAAGATAATTTGTAAGCAATCAAAATTAACCATGGTTAAGAGAGATGATCACGATTCTGAGAGAGGGAGGAAAATGATGATGATGATGATAAGATGAAGAAAAGACATAAAGAGATGAAAAGATGAGGATGAAGATGAAGATGAAGATGAATATTGTTCAGCATGTTACTTATTTTTTATGCTTCTTTTTACCCTGAACTTTACTGATAGTGACCATGTCAAAATTTATTAATAAATCGTTGATTATGTATATTAACTCAAGACCAACCCAAGATATTTGATCATCTTCATCATCTTCATCATCATTTGCAACTAAGACAAGGTCAAGTCAAAGTGATGCGTTTATCATCCAAGACATTTAATCGTGACTATCAATGTATTTACATCCTTATAAACAAAGATGAGATTTACCTGGAAAAATTTTTGTCGTGTCAAAGGTGAAACAGAAACAATCATCTCTCAAATCATCATCTTTATCATTAACATAATCAACAAAAACTTACATAGGAAAGTGAAGGAGGATAAAAGATACTATTGGATAAGATAGGAAGAGAGGGAGGATAATGATGATGAAGATGATGATTATCTTAATCTCCAGGTAAGTTCAAGAGAAGAGAAATTTTTCCTTCAGATTTTTTTTTTCTTCATTGGAATATAAAAATTTCCTTATATCTGATGAGATTCAATAATTTCCATCATGATGATCATCATCATTATCTCCATGTAATATCATCTATCAGTTAATAAGCCGATTTGTAGCTTGAAATTTACTTCCGTCTTCTTCATCTTCATCTTCATCTTCATCTTCATCGTTTCATTCAACTTTACCTTTGTTGATCAAACAGGTAAACATTTGAAAGGCGTAAATTTGATCAATTGAAGGAATGATGATAAACTGTAATTGGATCAAGATGAAATTAAAGGCGTAATCAAATGTCAATATACAATCATGATGATAACTAAATGCCTCCCACATGATAAACTAAATTGTTTTCGTCTATCATCAAGATTCAATATGATTGATAAAATGTAAACTAATCTAATTGTCCAAACGGGCAACGATCATCACGATCATCAACGTAAATGTCCATGTGGTTATGATTACAAGTGAATTGTCAAAGAAAAGTGAGTGAGAGAGTCACGATATGATGATGATAACGGGTCTATGGAAGATGATGACAGACTATGATGATGAAGATAACCTTAAATTTCATCTTTTGTTATAATCAACAAAAAAAAAGTTCGTTATAAATTTTGATTCTCTCATCAATATTATTATCTAATTGCATCTATTTATATGATACATTGTTTAGACTATAGGAAACTTGAGGTGATGATAATGATGATAAAGATGATATAGGATGATAAAGAAGATGATATAATGATGATGATGATGAAAGAAAATGGTTGTTACTGATATCAACAGATAAGAAAAGTTTCTTAATGTTTTGATACATTAAAAAAAAGGCCAAGCCTGTAAGGAGATGATAATGATTATTATTATGATGATGATAATGATGATAATAGTAATATTATTTCATATAGATAATCATTATCATCATCTTCAGGATGATCTGTATATATATAGAGTATCATGAAAGTGTTTTGAACTTTTTTTCATTGAGAAAACTTTTTCTGAACTTTAACTTGGATTTTGGTCTCTTGACTTTTTCTTGGCTTCGATATTGATAATTGATAACTTACTTTCTGTCCAAATGAATGAATTTCATGTCCATTGAATGAATCGAGGTGAAAACCGTTGTACTACCTTGAGCTACACATTCACGGGTTTCTGGCATAGCGACCGGCGTACAAGTGGCCAGGAAAACGGGCTCATTTCTTGAGCATAAAGGTAAATAAGAAACGTAATGACCTTGGACAAGGACAACCTTTTGATCGCCAAATCTCATCTGACGACGAGCATTTCTTGAGATGTTCATACGGCATAAGAAAAGCCGATTATCAGGAGTAATCAAACTATTAGCCAATGGATTAGGTGATCTCATTAATTCACTTTGAATTTGGGTGTGATCTTGTTTCTCAATAATATCGTAAACTGAATCACCATGAATGAGTAATTCCTCCTGTAGAAATGAAATAAAAAGTGTAAACAATTTAGTCCAACAGAATCAACAGAATCGAGAAGGGCAAAAAAAAAACTCCAACAATTAACCGTTAATCTAAAATTAAATGTGTATTATCACAGATTGACAAACAATTAGCAAATCAAATGATAATAATGAACGCACTGATTGAACCCATTTTATTAATAACTGACCAGCACAATCACTGTTATTTTACTGGTCAGTCTACTTAATCATTATAATCTTGTTGATATATTTCATAATAATATTGAATCTCATACTTATCACTTATCATTTATATAAGTGACCATAATAATAGCTTTGACCTGAATTCCAGGTCACTTTTTTTTTACAATATATATTAATGTTATCATTATTGTTACTATTGTTTGATAATAATAGTAATGGTCAACATAATGGTCACTTTTTAAACCACAAAATCTTTGTCCATTTTTTTACCTCTCATGTAAACATCACTTTTTTTGTCTCAGCTACTTAAATCATACATGTTGAGGTTAAATTGTTACCCTAACCTATAATCAGATCAGTTAATTTTTTCCCTTCTCAGCTACTAAACCCTCACTCGAACTCCCACTCCCACCACCCCTTTATCTTCCTCATCATTAGATCTCCATCTTTCTCTTTCTTTTTTGCATCCTCATCTTTTTTTTCTTGTTTTCTCTCTTCTTAAAAATGTAAATTAATCATTTCTACGCTTTAACTGACCATTCAAACCAATGATTAGCTTGACCAGTTAACCACCTAAAGGAAATTAGGTCAATTTGTTTTTTTTGTTTTGTTCTTCGGTTCGTCGAATAGAAAAGAACTGTTCTTTTCGTTTCGTTAGAATGAGAAAATTATCTCAATCGTAATTCGGTTGCGAAAAAGTTTTCTTTTCTGGGTTCGTTCAAAAGGCTTGGCATTATCATCCTCATCATCTTCAGGTATGACCATCATCAACTTGTATCTATCTCGATGCTTCTGTTTATTTCCAATGTTTATCATCAATCGAGCTTCCGATTCTCTCTCTCTCTCTCTCAAATTGTATCACTTTTTCTGCCTCTCCCTTCCTATCCTACCTGTTACCTGACTCACCTTGTTATTCAATCTGCAAATAAAACAACACAAGACTAAATCTTGAATGGATATTCAATGAACACTCCTCGATTATTTGGATTACTCCTTAATCCTAAATGAGCTCAATTGTTAATCATTTATTTATGATCATCTATTTACTATTATCACTTATTATTATTATGATGTATATAAAATTTCAAGTGTGATGAAAACTCAGGTGAGGCCAATTGATGAGGATGCTAATGATTAAAGGTGATGAAATGATAACAAGTGTTACAATGATAAATTATTATCATTATTATTATTATATCAGATTCTATCATGTTAACATAATAATAAATAAATAATCAGGCTCATTATCAACTCTAATCATTGTCTAATTAATCAATCAAATGATAAACTAAAATTGATTACCAGTTGATTGTTAGCATTAGTTAAGCTAATATATTTTTTTCCTATGTAATAATCAATTGATAAATTGATCAGCATGAGACTTGGACAACATACTGAGTGAGTAATTTTATTTTTAATCATCAACTTAAATCATCATCATCATCACTAAGGATTAAATAATAAATTGACAATCAATTAAATGGTCATCTAATTAAATCACCACTGATCAGATTAACAACAATTAGCTGACCTGACAAATTATCAGGTCAATTAGTTAAGCTTTTTAGTTTTGTTGTGTCAATTGATTGGATAATCAAAGGTATTAAATCATTGATTAAACAATTAAATTGATTTGTGATTTGATTGTCTGATAAGTTTCAATTGTTACCTGTTGATTAATTGATTGTGTCATTTCTAACTTTTCAAATTAACTGTCAAAAGAAAACGTAAAACATACAAATTGTTGGAAATTAAATTCATCAGGAAATTAACTTTATTTTTTCTCATTAATTCTGTAATTTTTTCTTCTTTATTTGTTAATTTTAATTATAATTGAAACTATTTACTGTTCACTACAATTTAGAAACTTTATTGACATTTAACTAATTTAGTTGCAAGAGAAATTAGAGGAAAATTTCAATTGCAAACATCCCTCAAAGTATATGTAAGAATCAATCATTTTGCAATCAAGGTAAATCAAGGTAAATGTATTAATACAATTGATTAGTTTTTTTCTTGTACTTTCTTTGGGTTAACCCGCCTTTGGATTTAGTGTACAGGTAAATAGACAAAAACGAAATACAAATTGTGATAAATTTACAATTAAACAAAAAGGAGAAACAAATTTCAAGCTCAATCAGGTAGGAAAAGTGAGAGAGAGAGAGAAAATCTCAGGTAAATCTCAAGGTGAAGGGAGTGAAAGCGTAGCTAATTTAGTGTATGAGAGAGAGAAGGTAAATTGGAAAAGATTATTTTGACATAAGAGACAAGGTAAAACATTTTAAATGGACGTTGGTCAAGAAGATGATGAAGAAGAGGGTGGAAGAGTGGGAGAGAGAGAGAGAGAGAGAGAGAGAGAGCTTAGAGGTAAAGGAGGCCCCTTGTGGTGAGAGAGGGTCACTCTTAGTCTTGGTTGAGGTAAAGGTAATTTTTTGTTTCTCAATCGATCCTTTTGATGATGAACTTTATGAAATGTTCATTTGTATTATCATTTAATTTCATATACCCAGTAGGTGGTTAGTCAATGTGGGAGTGTGCCATTGATTGAATATATTGCTATTTCAAATATTAATTGTTGTTATGGAAACACTGAAACCTAATCAATTTCAATATTAAGGTGTTGCAATTAAAACAACAGAAAAACATTAACATTGATGAAGATGCGGATAAAACTTGACAAGGATTGATGCTTATTGTTGCTTTTATCCTTGTGTATTATATTAGCATCAAATGATATCATCTCTCTCTCTCTCTTTTGCTTAATTTCAATGCTCAGAATTGAGTGTGAAAAAAATAGTTTGTTAAGACAAAATATCGCCTCAGGGTGAATGGCGTTTTAATTGACTCTCATTCTCTTTCTTTTTTCTCTCTCTTTTTCTTAAAGTTTCCATTTCATCAGTTAGTAAATTTTTCTTACAAGTGAAAGAGAGAAAGCAAGAGATAGGGAGAGAGAGAGAGAGAGGAGTGATGTAGATTAGAAACCAACACCACCCTCCACCTCTTCATCCTCTCACTCCTCTCCACTCTCACCCCACTCAAGATCCGGGTTCATTCAGGTTGTAAATATGTAGTAATTTCAATGAACAGAATGAGTAATGAAAAAATAAGAGAGAAAAAAATTCGATAGAAAAAAAATCATGACGATGATGATGATGATTACTGATTAATGATTATTATTACTCAATGAATTTATTTTATCGAGAATAAATTATTGCATCGGGTTAATTATAAATTAGTTAAACAATAAGGTTTCGTAATTATCATAATCTAATAAGATAATTATCGAAACTTATTAAAATTATTAATTCAATCTAGAATTTGTCTTCTCAATTCTAGAAAAATTCTGAAAGTGAGTCTAACATATATGATGACAAGAGTTCTAACCTTGAAGAGTTAATTGTTATGATTATAATTGCAATTAAAAGATAATAATCAAATCAACTGATGAAAAGTTAAACAAAAACAATTGAGTTAATAATCATTACCATCACTATATAAATAAGATAATATTTTATTGCGATAATAACAAATACATTTATATATATCATCCTCATCCTCATCCTCATCTTCATCTTAATCTTCATCTTATCATCAATTTCATTCATTTAATTACATCAATGAAGTTTACAATGAACAACAATCAATGAATTGGAAATTTTTTTTTCTAATTTACTATTAATACTCAATGAGAGAGAGCAAAAAATTTTCGTGATTTGTATCATTTATCTTGGATGAAGATGAAGATGATAAAGAAGATAAACTATGTCTTTAGTGAGAGAGATGATGATGAGGAGAAAAGTCATCATCATGATAATTTTTTTTTCTTTGCCTCCAAACGAAAAAAAAAACTATCATTCATTAAAACCTCAAGAGTTGTAATATTTTTCATTGAGGAAAATGAAAGTTAATTACAAAACCAGAGTGAAAACAATTAAAACCATGAAACATTTTACAATTACGATTGATTGTCAATTCTATTACAAACAATTAATTAATTACTTACCATTGAATGTCCCAAGTATTCAGCAGCATTATCAGATATGTACAACAATTTACCATTTTGTGTCATCATCATTAAGAAACCACTTAGAGCCTGAAACAAATTAAAAAGAATAACAATTAATCCAAACAATTAATTTATCTATTGAAACCAATAACAATTAAGATTAATTCAATCAAACAACAGAGTAAATTAGTTTTATTTTTCAGTTAATTGTCACCATTATCATCATTGATAAATGATTAACAATCATTATAATCAACCCAAAAAGAAATGGATTCAATTTGTAAACGTGATCGAGTTAATTGTATAAATATCAAATGATATTCAATTAGCTGATTGTTAATGTTAATCAACTAATAAATGATAACAATTAACCTGTAGGGTAAAATATTAATAGAAAAAAAATTCCAATTCTACTGAAAAATTGAACGAAACGAAAACTTTTTCTAAGAAGAAAAAAGTTTCGACTTTTACACACAAAATCGACATTAAAACGAATCAATTTTTTTTTCAATTTTCTTTTTCTCAATCAAGGTTAATGATGAGATTTTCCAAGCGAAATCATTTTTAATTGTTATTATCATTTTCGCTATCAGTTAATTGTTACCATGTAGAAAGAGAATAATAATAAATTCAACCCTGAGCTTCTGAATATCAACAATTAATGATGAGTTTTCTATTCTCTATCGAACTTTTTATTTCTTCTCTTTCAAGAAAAAGTTCACCTGTAAATCTTATACAATCACCTGTTCGTTATTATTATTGTTATCCACTATTCTTATTGCATAAGCTTCTGTTTATCATCATTATCATCATCATCTACAACATCATCTTCATCTTTATCTTCATCTTCATCATTGTTTTTCTTATACTTCTTTGGGTTAATTACAATTAAAGTTAATCATAATCAAGGGATACGCTTTTTAATGAATATATAGTCACGTTAATATCCTAATGCTCATCATCATCATCATCATCCTTGTCTTCATCATCTTCCAACCTCATCATCATCTTTTGTTTTCATCGTTGCAACGAAATCGTAACTTTGTTTTGTTCATTTCTATTAAAATTAATATATTAACAATCAAATCTAAATATTGATTCAATTAGATTTATATTTCCTCTTAAAATCATTGATAACATTTTCTTGCTTAATTTGATTAAATTTAATCATGAGAAACAATTAATTTTTTATCCTGATAGTTAATTAACATCTGCCTATCTATTACTAATATATTAACTGTATGAGTTAATTGTTAATTATAATTGAAACCAAGAAAACAATGAGGTAACTTAATTAATCACTTAATCATATTACTATTATTATTATTATTGATTACAATTAGGATAAAATATCAATATAGAAAAAATTTGTTGTAACAATTAACCAAAATAAAGTTAATCATATAAATATATAAGATAATCAAACTATTTGGAAAAAAAGTTAATTGTGATTAAGTGGATATAAAAACAATACGAAACTATTATAACAATTAAATCTCAATGACAACAATTTACCAAAGGTAACAAGTAATCAGGAAAATGTGAACCGGAACGTAAGTTAAAAGTTAAATTAACTAAACTAAATCAAAGAGAATTAAATTAATAACAATCAATGGAATGAAGGTTCACTGGTTCGTGATTAACTTCAATTGGAAAAAATTAACTTTTACAATTAACATTAGTTATCATTAGATTGTTGCCCTACAATCACAAAACGATTTGTTTGTGTTTCTCTTTGTATGTAATATATAAGAAAAAACTTTTACTTTTCATCTTCATTCATTTCCATTTTTCTTAATCATCATCTTGATCATCATCATCTCTTAAATAGCCTCCAGGCTAATCAGGTATCTATACAAGTTGATGTACTGATGATGAAGATAATGATGATGATGATGAGAGTCTATGAGTTTTGCCTTAAGGATTTTGTCTTAACTCTGGAAATACAAGTTAGTATATATTGGGAATAACTTTTTTCTTACTTGGGATATTATTGTAATTACAATTAGCAATTTACAATCACATTAATTTTTTGATTGTTCCAAATGATCAACAATAATGTATTATCCTGATCATTTTAATGT